CCCTGTTTTTGACTTTCATCACCGAATTTCTGTGATTCTAAAGTTAATAAAAAAAAGAAGCGATAGAAAAAGTTGCGTACAAACTTGCGCTTTCATTCGCGCAATTTTTTTTGATTTTCTCGAACCACCTCTTTCCTATGGGTTGCAAGCGCGAGCGCTTTAGCGAGCTAAGTGAGCTGTTCTAGCAGCTAGGGTACGGTGTATCGTTAGGTACCTGCTGCTAAAGCAACAAAGGGGCGTGGCTTAAAATACCAGCAAGGACTGGGTACCTAACGTCCGCACCTCGTTTCGCAGCTTAGTCAGCTGCGAAACTTTACAATTACAATAACCGATTGCGATTGGGGCGCGCTTTCCGAGGCCGATCATAACGCTGTGAACCCTATTTGGGGCTGTATCGAAGCGGTGCCTTGGTGGTTTTGGAAGCGGATTTGAACATATAGTAATACTCTCGACATAGTCCACATTTATGTAAAGAAATCCGGGAAATTATGTGATGGGAAGCAGGGAGCCACCCCAGGTGGCTCCCAGGTGGCGCGGGAGCCACCTAATTTCGAAAAAGACTTACCATTTTTTAAATTCACATAAGTTTTTCATAATTCTTTATACTTTTTTGTGCTCATGGTCCTCCAACTATACAGCAAATTTGGTGCCATATCGTTGCTTGTGCATTGAAAACGAGCCTATTTTGTTATTTTCCTCTTACAAGAATTGCGATTTGAATTCCCGCCTGCGGGCAGGGTAGCGGGCTCCGCCCCGGACCCCAAAATACGACTTCCCCTTTGCTTTTTCGGGCCAAAAACGATATCCAGCTTGTGAAAGCGCCACCCCCGCCGGGCCCTGATAAAAAGTTGTGCAGTGGAATCAGAGTGCGCAAAAACCCTAGTATACAATTTTTCAGATTTTTGAAAAAAAATTTTGTCAAATGACATAATTCAAAATATTTCTACTTGCTGGAAGTTCTTACCGTAATCCTACAGTGATAAAGAGCGATCGGTGATTCGCCCATTACTATAAATCTAAGATGAAGCCTCCTCTATAAAGTGGTACTTAAATGGGAAAAAAGACACAATGGGAAGAGAGATATTAACGACTGAAAAGTGTGTACTTACTTTTGGGACACCCTGTATATTAGGCTGGAAACTAAGTTTTGCAACTGGTTTCATAACTTCACTCTCTTTGGGTATGGCGCACTCAAACTTTGGGATTATGTAGAAGGCAATGTGAGCTACAAGGGAGCACAAATTGTCTAAATTTTGAACACGAAATAGAAAAGTTTCAGGCGTTTTTCGAAAACTAGTAAAATTTGAGAATTTTTGGGGTTTCAAGCTAAAACGAAGCCGTTGGCAGCCTAGACCATGCGCAGTAATCCGGATTCGTCTACAATTTATTGGTGGAGGTTGACTCCTTTGGCCTAGTAAGAAAGAAACAAAATTTAAGGGCATGTCGAGATTGGGTGTCCTCATAAAGTCGAACGAGTCGATGTACGCAAGAGCTGCTGGGGACGACCGTCAGTGACTAAAGAGTCCGAAGTTCAAATTCCGCCGAGACTTTACGTAGTAAGGTGATTTGACCTGCCAAACTCGAATATCGCATTCATTTGTTGCATCAACGCCTTTTTCCTTGTTTAGGGTGAGCCCCATATCGTACATTTAGTAATCCTACAAACCCTCATCACGCAATTTCACTATCGTTTTCGTGATCAGCATGGCGGATAACGCCCCTATGCCAAGTTTCAGCCAAATCCGTCAAACTTTGAATTTTTCTCTTCATACAATGCACCTACCGTAACCCTCACTGCGACGTCAAAATTGGTAGGACAGTAGCTGCGCTTGTAGTTTACGTAATAACCAACGCAGTGGCAAAATAGGAGTGCGCCATGTTGAGTGAGAGGGAAGTTATAAGGCCAGTTGCAAAACTTAGTCCAACTTAATATTAGGTTGTCTCAAAACTATTTTCACTTTTTTTGAACAAGCGCCACAGTCCGCAGAACAAAGGTATACAGGAGCTCTTGGTAGGTTGGTTGGTTTGATGCAGTTTTTCATGCTCTTTCTGACGGTCATCTCTATAATGCAGATGATGCAACGAGCTCTCAGAAAATTGCTAAAAACTGCAACTCATGCTCTTTACTAAGGTCAGGTTCAGCTATTTGTCTAAATTCTTGTACCTATTTCCAAGAAGTCCAAGTGACCTGTCGATAGAGCAAACAAAGTAGGATGCAACACAATTTTTGTTCATTCCATAGCTTACTTTGAAAATTTTTTAAAATTAGTTTCTCGATGCTATGAAATTCCATATTTGGTCAACTTAAACCTCATAGAACAACAGCCGGCGAGCAACTTGGATGCTGTTCGACGCAGCACTTTCTACTCTTTCTTAGACATGTTTTTTGCCCCAGATTCGAGAAGTCTTGAAGGATAAAATCAACAAAATTCGTGTTTTTCAAGAAACCTCAGGCTGTACGCGACAAATTAGAAATTAGATATTTCGAACCCCGGAACGCTCAATTGTTTCGTAAAATCAGTGCTTAATCCTAATCCACTTTAAAAGTATCAAAAATCGAGTGTTTAGTGAAGTTTGACGTGTCTGCGTCTAGTATGGAACTTCTAAAATTCGACGGTGTTGTTCAAAATTTTGTCAAAAAGTTATGGGGAGCCCTGGGAAGGAGAATGAAACCGTTCTGTATCCTACTTTCTTTGCTCTATTCGCTGGTTACTTGGACTTCTTCGGGGGATCAGTATAAGAATTTAGAAAAATAGTGGAACTTGACCTTGGTAAAAAGCATGGGTCGCAGTTTATCGCAATTTTCTGATAGCACATTGTTTCAACCGCCAAATAAAGGTGACCACTTGAAAGAGAATAAAAAACTGCATCGCTGCATCGAATTCTACCAAAAGCTTCTGTTAACCTTTGTTGTGTGGATTTTGGCGCTAGTTCAAAGCTAAAATACTTTTGGGACGACCTAATATATATATTAGGTTGTCCCGAAAGTTTTTCGCACCATTTTCAAAAAAATCATGACTTCTTTCCGTTACGACGATTTTGCGCAATTTAAATTTGTTTAGAAAGCGTAAAGCATATAGTTTCCAATAGTCCCCTGGAGACTTTCCAGCATGTTTAGATTGCAGAGATAAAAATGAAAAAACGAGAACATCTGAAATTCGGAATTTTTAAGCAAAAATTCTAAAAATCTAGAAACTGCGCGATAAAATCCACAAAAGCCATTATCATAATCTTTCTTATAATTGATTACTAACTGAGTTAAGTTTGTCCTGATCAAGCTCTTCTTTCAAAAGTTATGATTTTTTGAAAAAAAATGCAGGAAATATCACTTTTCTTAGAATTCTTAAGAAATCGATTTTTCGGCACTTTTTTTCAAAAAATCATAACTTTTGAAAGAAGAGCTCGATCAGCACAAACTTAACTCTGTTAGTAATCAAATATAAGAAAAATTAGGATAACGGCTTTTCTGGATTTTACCTCGCAGTTTTTAGATTTTTGGAATTGTTTCTCAAAAATTCCGAATTTCGAATGTTTTCGTTCTTTCATTTTTATCTCTGCAATCTAAACATGCTGGAAAGTCTCCAGGGGATTATTGGAAACTACATACTTTCCGCTGTCTTATAAAATTTGAGTCGCGCAAAATCGTTGTGACGGAAAGAAGTTATGATTTTTTGAAAATGGTGCGAACGAACTTTCGGTTCAACATATTACCCTATTTACAGGTATATAAGCCGCACCCTTTTTGCTCTAAAGGCCAACACGCCAAAGGACTGACTGTCATCATGGAGCGCGTTATGGGAGAGCAATATGCGGTAAGGCGACCACTTTGCGAGACATATGCGCGGCGGCACGCTTGGGTCTGCTCGCGTTTAGAGCAAAAAGGGTGCGGCTTATACACCTGAAAATAGGGTAGGTTGTTACATAAGTCTTGTTGAACTTTAATTTCTTACGGCAATAAGTCATGCACCTTATATTCTTTACAGGGCTCCAGGTTACCATTCAACAGAGCAAAGCAAGCTCTACAAGGTAATGTGCAAAAGTTCGCGCCCACTTCGATCCACTGTAGGTTTGCATCCAAAATTTGAGTCGTACTGAGGGCTCAAAAAATCGCGAAAAATTCGTATCTTTGTTCGAAAAAATCCCACGACTTTCCAACTTGCTCACAAAAATTACACATTGTATCAGACACTCATGTGTACCGTTCCTGGATTTTTCCTTCGTCTAGAAATTAAGAAAACGAAAGTTTTCTTGTTTTTTACAAAAATGGAGTTATGCAGTTTCTGTTCATGTAGCTGTATACTGCAAGCGCTTAGAGGTACAACCAGGGCCCGGCACGCGTTGGTTTGAGGTCAAACTGGACTTCGTTTTTGAGGGTGAAAGCAAAGAGGACTTCGTTTTTATGAGGTTCTGGAGGAAGCGCCAAAAAAAAAACACGACGAACATGTCAGGTTTCACGAGTTGAACGTGTTCTTTCGCAAGCGCGCGAATTTCAAATGCAAGACTCAAACAAACAAATGGCTTGTTTACAGCGCACAAACAATCACATAGCTCCGAATTTGGGCTATGAGTATACAATATTACTCCAAACTATGTTATGTAAAAAGTTCCAAAAACTTATGTGTCTGATTACCCGTTCCGGATTTGTTGGTTTCAAAACCAACCACCGAACCAACTGGGTTGGTTCGGAGCATAAATTTCGGAGAGTTCACATAAGTTTTGGACCTTTTTGGTTTGGACGATTAAAGCGCTCAAAAATCTATTATATAGTGAAGAGAGCGAATCAAACCATTGCCTCTTCTCTCTTTTTTTGAGCCAAAAATAGTGTAAATCTATGCGTTGATAGATATCGCGCCACAATCGCATGTGTGTAACGGCGTCCTTTAAAGCGGCGTCGATTGCATCATTACTATTGTCTCGCCGTTGCTCATCTCTTCGGCCTAATCCCATCTCTTCGTCTTTTCCTTTCATTCGTTTTCATTCCTAATTGCTTTCATTTCAGAATGGTGTCGTCCGAAGCTAACGAAGCGCCGAAGTATGAGTTCAAAATTCCCCCGGATGGGTTCAAGCGTCATAAAAGGTTAGTTTCTATTTCGGAAGTTTTGATACTGTGCTTATATCTAATTGTTTATCTCTAAGATTTGTCATACGAGTTTGCTTTCTCACCTCTCACTCCTCAAGGTTCTTCCCCGTCTCTCTTTCCCTTGTCCTCCTCAGCGGTCGTTTATTTCTAGTGTTTTTTTATTTCCCGTCTGTATTTTGAAAGCTCTTGCTTTTCTGCTGCTGCATTAGGCCCCGGACAGACTTCACGCGATTTGATCGTCGCGACTGAATCGCGACGAGACAACTGTTACAACATCATTCAATGCCGATCAACTTGCATTTCGGTTGTGATACTTTTCCAGCCCGAAATTTTTGAATGTTAAATGAAAATGAATGGAAATCTTGGCGATTAGATCGCGACGATTAAGTCGCGTGAAGTCTGACTGGGGCCTAATCCAACTAGCTTTTGATATACATAGAATAACTTGGAATCCTTCATATCCATCTGCTTTAAAGGGGAGCATCCTTTCCCCGAAGCCAACTGAATTGGTTGATGTTTGATGTTTTCTGCTCAGATACATAAGCTAGAGGGCTAGGAATTCTCCAGAGGCACTGCACTCCGCGATATGTTTATCATCGAGATGACTTGCATTTAATGAGACTCTCACTTACTCCAAAAAGAAAACAATGTGGAAATGAGGAGGTAAACAAACTATCTCTTTACTTTCTATGCACTCATTATCACTGTGTCTAGAGCTTCAAAGAATCTACTCTCCCTCTTGGCAGTACTTCTTACAGAGATTCAACTAACTGAGTCCACAATATCCTATCTCATTTTCATATTCGGAACTAGGAAAAACTACAAGCATTCTATGTTTTGTCGTTAGTGTAGTCACCCTCTGTGTTTTAATGACTTTCGAAAAAACTCTCAATAATTGCACTGTGCTGTGATAATTAGATGAGATATAGAAAGATTATTTCTCACATCATTTCAGTAATTTTTATGTCTGGTTTTGTGTGGACTCCAATTTTACAATTTTCGAAGTTTCCCATTCTTTGTAATAACGTTGACACTTTGCGAATGAAGGATTTAGTATATACAGTTGATGCATTTCATATGATCATGTGTGCCATTGCACAAACCGTCCATCTTTGGCGTTCCCGTCCTAATTTCTTGGTCAATTGGGCAATTGGTCACTCTCTCGCGTTTCTGCGATCAGAAATCCAGGATGAGGACGCCAAAGATGGACGGTGCGTGCGGGTGCACACATGATCATATGAAATGCATCGACTGTAACTGGCTAAGAGATTCTCATGGGAGCATGTGCACATTTTCCTCTAATTAATTAAAGACTGAAGAGAATTATCATCAGTTTCCAAGTCGATGTGCTAAAATAGAAATTTGGTGTCGTTGCTCATTGTATTTGCGTTCAATTGTTCTGCAATCAGAAGCACATCTGTACCTTTGCTTAGCGAAGATATTTGTTAGCACGTTTTCTGCTAAATTGCTCAAAAAAGTACATTAACGTAATTGGTCGGTGCAGTTTCATTCCAACGGTCTGCTGCAAAACGTAGCGAAAATGCGCATTATGTTTGATTTGCGGGCATGATGGCCGTTGGGCTGGAATTTGCCACCCCTTTCCACTACTGGCGAATTGCCAAATCGCGTCGGAATAAAATCGCATGAAGTATGTCCAGCCTTTTAGTTAACCCATAAAATGAAAATCGTGAATTTCGCTAAACTTTCGCTGAACCTTCAACTTTTTTTAGATCTCTTGCGGGCTTCAAATGTGTTGTCGTCCTCCTGTGTCTCTCTGTCATTACGCCCGCACATGGCCAGTATTTGTCGGACAAGGGGATGTACCAGCAACAGCCAATGGTGAGAACTTTAAAGTTTGAGTTTCAAACAAGTATTTTATCCTTCTTTTAGCTTGTGCAACCGATAAGATGTGATTGTCCGACATTTGGCCTCGCCGACGCGTTTGCACACGCCACGAACTTCCTGCTTCTTCTCATTTCATTTTTCTATTAGTACCGCAACGTGAGTTTGAAATTCTTTCTGAATTTCTATAAACAAAAATCTTATTTAGGCTAAACAGAACCGTGATGGCAACAACAACAACGCCCGCCAGGACCCAATTGCACCCCCGCAGAATGCACTGATTTATCACCAGCTTCCTGCACTGATGCCCAACAATACGAACCCCTTCGTGCCTTAGGCCACGAAGGGGTGCCCCTCCCCCCCCAAAAACCAATGACGCGACTTTTTTTGACGTGCATCTCTTGCTATCTCTGCTAAAATGATTTCGTTTGATACTTCCCAGTTCAATCACTGAAACTTTTAACATTCCCACAAGGTCTGCGAAATTTACTTAATCACAGTTTCTGCTCTTATTTTTGGCTTAGAAAACCTAAATTCGTTACGAAGTCGAGTACTAGATCTAGGATACGCTTTGCTCAGGACGCACAAGGTCTACAAAACTTACTTCATCATAGTTCTGCTCTTATTTTTGGCCTACAAACCTAAATTCGTCACAAAATCGAGTACCAAATCTAGGATACGCTTTGCTCACGACTGAAATCCACTTCGCCTTCAAATGAAGTCGTCGTTATTGGTAAGATCTCCTCTTGATCTCGTGGAAACTAACTCACTCTGATTGCTCACCTTTTTCTGAAAAGCCTTTCGTACTTCTTTTTGCCTTTATTGTGTTCTTTTTTTTTTCAAAATCGGTAAATGCCTTTTCTGTATGTTCGTAGTTGCATGAATAAAGTTTTTTTTCTCTTGGAGACAAGTTTTATTGACTGTTAAAGGCTTGGCAATTCCGGTGTGCTAATTTTGGGGTCAAAGGGGACTTCGTAAAAATTTTCGGAGTCATGGGGGATTCAAAAATCCTCCAAACCAACGCGTGCCGGGCCCTGGGTACAACCGTAAATTTTCAGCTTTCCAGAAGCCCTAGTTTTCGAAAAATACCGAACTTAGCTTTTTTCGCTCGGGGGTTCAATGCTAAATCAGGTATTTTTCGAAAAGTAGAGCTTCTGGAAAGTTAAAATTTTACGGTTGTACTTGTAAGGGCGTGTAGTATACAGCTACATGAACAGAAACACCATAACTCCATTTTTGTAGAAACAAGAAAACTTTCGTTTTCTTAATTTCTAGACGAAGGAAAAATCCAGGAACGGTACACATGAGTGTCTGATACAATGTGTAATTTTTGTGAGCAAGTTGGAGATTTGTAGAATTTTTTTGAGCGAAAATATGAATTTTTCGTGATTTTTGAGCCCTTAGTACGACTCAGATTTTGGATGCAAACTTATAGTGGGTCGAAGTTAGTATGAAGTTTGCATAATGTCTTGTAGAGCTTACTTTGCTCTATCAATTGGTACCCTGGAGCTCTGTAAAAATGTGAGATGCTTGACTTATCGCCGTAAGAAGTTAAAGTATAACAAGACTTGTGTAACATCTTCTTTCTTTTTAATGGTTTCCGCACATTGTTAGAAAGCTCTTTTCATGCTCTATCTAAGGGTGTTCGAAATAGACTTTTAGCCCACTCTGTTAAGAATTTATAGAGCTTCAAACAGTCGCACTCAAACCAGATTTTCGTTGCATTCATTTTTCTGGCCAGAATTTGAGCGCGAGTGAAGGTGGTTTATCGAAAATTTAGTTGCTATATGTGATGGAAACTGTCTAGATTATGCATATTTAACCGTATTTTTTGAAGCTATCTGAAGTGAGATATCGGCGGCTTAACATGGGTAATGGTTATGGTCATTTTAGAGCCCATAACTTTCTTTTGTAGAACGCAGTCGCTCAAACTTTGCTCATCTCTGTAAGCGTGAGGGGGGTAGGGGTCCCATTAGCGGTTTTTGCAAAAACATCCAGTTTTCAGTACGCAGAAAATTAAAAAATTCTCTACTTCTGCGTTTTGAGGCCTACTGAAATATGCTAAAAAAGTTGATATTTTTGAATTTCGATTTTTCCGTCTTCGCTAATCTTTTTTCTCCAAGCCGTTTCCATGTATATTTGTACTACTGGATTGCGGCTACAAGATGGGCTGCTCATAAATCATAAGAACAAAAGTGAAAGGAGTTATGTTCTATCAAAAACAAGGCTTCAGAAAAAAACTCTTTCTGTTTTTCAATCCATATTTTTCTGCCCATATGAGATATGAGCATAGTTCAATGTGCACTGTACTGCGAAAGGTTCGCTGCATCTGATGGTCTTTATCACATTTTAAAATGTAGATTTTGTAGAAAGTTATAGCAAGTTAAAATAAAAAATTGAAAAACCTCATTATTTTTGCATCAACCTAATATATTAGGTTGGTGCAAGAGTTCTTTTCGCCCAAATTTAAAAGTTCATGACTTGTTTGATTTTCAACGAATCTGCAAAATCTAAATTTTGCACGGAAGCAGCGCTCATCTCCTGTCCTCTCCAAACCCATCGACGCCCACCCCATGGACGAGTGAACGCGAAGCCCGTCATGGCGAAGACGCAGAGTTTTTGCGGGACCTCATGCTTATAGCATTGCGGCTGGCGCTCTGACCGCGGAAGTCACTCGTCCATGGGGTGGGCGGGTTCGGAGAGGACAGGAGATGAGCGCTGCTTTCGCTTTGAAATTTCGGAGGTTAGAAGTGGCAGAGAAAGACCGAACTTTGGCCCATAGGTTCCATATGGGGGCTCCTACCCTGTGACCTTGTTTTGTCACGGGTCTCATTCTGCCGATGTACTGCCTTTGATGTTTACAAATTAAGGAGATAGAAGCTCAAAGCCAAAATGACTCGAAATTTGAATTTTTCATGTAGGGTCATAAAAAATCGGAAACCTGCAACAAAAATGAGCAGTCAGTATTGTAGGGTCCTTCACCAGCTCTTTCCAACAGCGCAAAGTTTGTGCCGATTGAGCGTCTCTATGAAAAATTATGATTTTCGAGCAAGCAATACAAAAGGGCGAATTTGATTCATTTTGGCATTTTTCAGGGAAATCATAACTTTTCGTAGAAACCCTCAATCAGCACAAACTTTGCACTGTTGGAAAGAGCTGGTGAAACCTACAATACCGACTGCTCCGATTTTGTTGCAAGTCTCAGATCTTTCATGACTCTACACGAAAAATTCAAATTTTGAGTGATTTTGGTTTTGCGCTTCCTTCTCCTTCATTTGTACACGATAACGAGCACTTCAGGTAAATTTGCAAAGAGCATGAGTTCTTCTCTTATACAAAATTTAAGTCTTGTAAATTCGTTGAGATTTCAACAAGTTATGAATTTTTGAATTTGGTGCGAAAGAACTTTCGCATCAACCTAATATATTAGATTGGTCCGAAAGTTCTGTCTCACCAATTTCAAAAAATCATAACTTTTTCCTAACACGATATTTCTGCGTGGCTAAACCATGTTGAAAAGAGCAATTTATGCATTTTCTAATGCTACCTTGGCTTCTATCAACTAAGCCCTGAGTGCAGAGAGAAAATTAGGAAAAGGAAATCACTTCAAGTTCGGAATTTTTAAGCAAGCCCGTTGAAAAATCCAAAACAGCCAGTATCCTAGACATTTGTTCTCCTTTTTACAAATGAGCAAAATTCACGTTGATTGAGCTGTTGCTTTAAAAGTTATGATTTTCTGAAGAATGTCAAAAAATCAATTTTCTTAACAAACTGATTTTTTGGCATTTGTTCTCGAAAATCTTAACTTTTCTAGGAAGGGCTCCATCAGCGCGAATTTTGCTCGTGTGGGAAGAGAGGATCAGAAAACCTAGGTTACTGGCTGTTTTGGACTTTATGGCACAGTTTTAGATTTTTAATGGCTTTGCTTAAAAATTCCGAACTTGAAGTGATTTCTTTCCCCCAATTTTATCTCCGCATTCAGAGCTTATTAGATAGCAGCCAAGATGCTTCTGGAAAGCGCATGAATTGCTCTTTTTGACAAGGTTTTAGCCATGCGAAAACATTGTGTAGGAAGAAGTTATGATTTTTTGAAAATGGTGGGAGAGAACTTTTGGACCAGCCTAATATATACAGGGTGTCCGTAAAGTATGTATACACTGTTTGATCGGTAATGTGTTCCTTCCAACAAGTCTTTTACTTTGCTGCAGGTACCATTTTGTAGAGCTGGCTTCAATTTAGATTTACAGTATGGAGCGAATCACCGATCGCTCTTCATTACTGTAGGATTACGGTGGAAACTTCAAGGAGGGTTTTGAGCCATTAAAGGCCATATTTTGCCTCAGAAAGGAAACAAAACAGCCTGAAAACTTCTACACTAGGCTAATTAGAGTTGCTGATTCTAATTGTAAAGTTCCCTTATTATAACGCTTCATTGAAGAGTTGTGCCGGGTAAAAGGTAGCGGCCATTTCTTCAATGTTCCTAAAAAGTGCGGTTACACCGTTTAGAAAGCTTCGAAATCTTATGAATAGTTGAGTATTGAACTTAGTGTCCATAAAAACCCTATTACACAAGTTTTCACATTTTTTTGAGAAATTTTGAAACGGAAGCTTTTTCCAAATTGACACCATATGTTCCAAGTTTCTACCATAATCCTACAGTAACGAAGAGCGATCGGTGATTCGCTCCATACTGTAAATCTAAGTTGAAGCCAGCTCTACAAAACGGTACTTGAAGCAAGGCAAAAGACTTGTTGGGAAGAATGATATTAACGATCAAACAGTGTATAATACTTTACGGACACCCTGTATATAACGGTTGAACCGAAAGTTTGCTCGCACCATATCCAAAAAATCATAACTTCTTTCCTTTACGACGATTTTGCGCAGTTTAAGCTTTGTTAGGAAGCGTATAGCATGTAGTTTTCAACAGTCCCCTGGAAACTTTCCAGCAAAAAATGAAAGAACGAAAACATCCGAAACTCGGAATTTTTGAACAACAATTCCAAAAATCTAGGGACTGCGCGATAAAATCCAGAACAGTCATCATCCTAAGTTTTCTTATATTTAATTACTAACTGAGTTGAGTTTGTGCTGATCGAGCTCTTCTTTCAAAAGTTATGATTTTTTGAGAAAAAAAATGCAGAAATATC